GCTGATTAGAAGGGTAATCACAACAATGTAATCAAGACATTGTTACAGGAATAAATATCTAGATCAACAAGAGAATCAGTAGCCCAGAAATAAACTCATACATTTACAGTTAATTGATTTTTAAAGATGAAACTAAGACCATTGAATGGGGGAAAGAATAGTCTTTTCAATAAATGGTGCTGGGATAGCCATATGTAAAAGAATGAAATTGGACTTTGAACTCACTCTATATACAAAAATCAACTCAAAATGGTTCTGTAAAAACAGAAACTATAAAACTATTAGAAGAAAGTATAGAGGTAAATTTATTCCTTGGTTTTAACAAGAGTTCTTAAATATGACATTGAAACCAGAAGCAACAAAATACCAACTAGACAAATTGAACCTTATGAAAACTAATAACTTCTGTACTTCAGAGGACACAACCCAACCAGAGAAAATGAAGACAACCCACGGAATGGTAGAAAATATAGGCAAAGCATATATTTGATAAGTGACTCAGGTGTAGAATGTGTAAAGAACTCATACAATTCAATAATAAAAAGATAAACAACCCAATTCAAAAATGGGCAAAGGATTTGCGTAGACATTTCTCCAAAAAAGGTACACAAATGGCCAAAAAGCACATGAAAAGAATGTTTGTCATCATTAATCATCAGGAAAATGTAAATCAAACAGTATGGCTAGAAGCAAAAAGTCAAATAACAAGTGTTGGTGAGGCTTTGGCAAAACTGAAATCCTTGAACACTGCTGGTGGGAATGTAAACTGGTACAGCTGCTTTGGAAAACAATCTGGCACTTCCTCAAATAATTTTTGTTTTAAGATTGTATTTATTTATTTGACAGAGACAGCGAGAGAGGGAATACAAGCAAGAGGAGAGGGAGAAGCAGGCTTCCCGCTCAGCAGGGAGCCCGATGCAGGGCTCTATCCCAGGACTCTGGGAACATGACATGAGCCAAAGGTAGACGCGTTAACAACTGAACCACTCAGGCGCCCCTTCCTCAAATAATTAAACATAGTGTTACCATATAATTCAGCTATTCAGTACCTAGGTGTATACCCAAGAGAAATGAAAAAATATATGTCCAAACAAATACTTGTTCATGAATGTTTTCAGAATGTTTTTATAAAAGCCAAAAGTTGGAAACAACCAAAATGTCTATCAACAGGTAAATGGATAAATAATAGTGAATTCTCCATACAATGGAATATTATTTGGTCTTAAAAAAGAATGAATACATGCTACAGCATGGATGAACCTTGAAAACACTGAAAGAAGAAAAGTGAAAGGAGGTAATCACAAAAGAGTATCTACTATATGAGTCTGTATATTTGAAAGTTTAGAGAAATCTTTTGGGAGAGGAAATAGATTAATGGTTGCTTAGGGCTGGGAGGCAGGACAGTGATTAAGGGAATGATAGCTAAAGATTATAGGGTTCCTTCTTGAGATGTTGAAAATGTTCTAACATTTATTGTAGTGATGGTTGCACATATCAGAATATTTGAGAAACCATTGAGTTATATACTTTAAATGGATGAATTATATGGCATTATGAATTACATCTCAATAAAGCTGCTTAAATAAAAGAATAGGCTGCTCCAAAAATATATATAGTTACCATCAAATTTAGCAGGAGGAGACCAGACATTTATAGGTGACATTTCTTTTAGCCTTCCTTCCCCATCTCATTTCCCCTTTGTACCCTAAACTTGAAGTAGGAGGTTCAGCATACCATCCTGTCAGTAGTGATTTTTTTTTTTAATTTTTAAGATTTTATTTATTTGTCAGAGAGAGGGGGCGCAGAAGCAGGAGGAGTGGCAGGCAGAGGGAAAACCAGGCTCCCTACTGAGCAAGGGCCCAATGTGGAACTCGATCCCAGGACCTTGGGATCATAACCCAAGCTGAAGGCAGACCCCAACCAACTGAGCGACCCAGGTGTCCCCTGCCAGTGCTCTTTAGAGAAGTCATTGCAACCTGCAGTCTCACTCCGGCCTAAGGAGAAGGGTGTTGGGAGAAAGGATTTCTCTAAACCATGGCTCATACCAAGCATAGGGCTTGCAATCAATCAGTGGTAAAGCATCCAGGAGGTAACTGGCTACAAAAGCTTCTCTCAGTAGTTCATCCTCTCCTGGGTAAGATGTGAAATAACCTTTTTATCAAAATCCTGTTACAAGTACAGTGGCATCTGAAATTTAGATTGCTCTGACTTCTAAATAGACATGCCCTTTCAGAGCACAAATATTGGTGCTCTGAAGGAGGCAAGTGCAGCCTGTGTCGTCGGCTTGTTTGAAGACATCTGTGTGCTGTCCGTGCCAGTGGGGAACAATTGTGCCAGAAGACGTCCACCTAGCATGTTGTAGTCCTATAGAATATATTGCATAGGTGGAGAATAAGTGAAATATTCATTTTTTTTTAAAGATTTTATTTATTGATTTGACAGACAGATATTACAAAGGGGCAGAGAGGCAGGCAGAGAGAGAGGAAGGGAAGCAGGCTCCCCGCTGAGCAGAGAGCCAGATGCGGGACTCCATCCCAAGACCCTGGGATCACGACCTGAGCTGAAGGCAGAGGCTTTAACCCACTGAGCCACCCAGGTGCCCTGAAATATTCATTTTAATTGTAAACATTTCATTTGCAAAAAACCTAAAGATTCAACCTCTTTTCCCCATCATTGGTAGTTCTGAACACTAGAATTTTTTTTTTTTTACCAGAAGGTCAAAATGAACCTACATATATGATTGTGAATGGACAAAATGGTGACATAATTGGGTATTGGCAAGTTATTTTTCCATTTTCATTACTGTGTGAATTTTTAATATTAATATGGAGACATAAAACATTAAAGTAAATCAACTCTCAGTAATATAATTTATGGCAAATATAAATAAATCTAGTAAATCTTTGTTTACAATGCCACCACTTAGCTTTTTTTAAACAAGAAAGAATTTTTTATCACAACTGAGCAGTATCTATCATTTTATCATAGAGTAGTTACATCTATTATTCACTCAACTTTTCTCATTAATTCTACATGCAAGTGCATGGTTTTTCTTAAAGATTTTATTTATTTACTTAATTATTTTTTTTTAATTTATTTGAGACTGACAGAGCGAGAGAACAAGCTGAAGGAAGAGAGACAGGAGAGAAAGAAAGAGGGCGAGAGAGAACTCCTCACTGAGCAGGGAACCTAATGTGTGGGTCAGTCCTAGGATCCTAGAATCACGACCTGAGCTGAAAGCAGACCCTCAACTGACTGAGCCACCCAGGCTCCCCTAAGTGCATGTTTTTAATGTTGTCTGTACTATTCTTGTGTGTTTGTTATCAAATATGTTTAATTTTTAAAATTGTTAGCAAGTTTCAAATATCTCAAATTGACACTGTTATGCTAAAATACCACACAAATTCCGTTAAAATGGATAGTTCATTTATTAATATCAGTAATCATGTTACAACCTACGAGGAGTTTTTCTGTTCTTAATTGTCTTCTATCACTGCTCTTTAATCATACGGGCCCCTAGAAGATGACTCGGAATTTTGTGGGTAGTTTTTCGGTTGTCACAATGATAGGGGGATGTTAGGAGGCCAGCTGTCTTGATGCCTAAGTTCAATAGATCCATTAGATTCCAACCCTTGTCTTTATACCTGCTCTCAGTGCTTGCTGCTTCCAATTCCCAATCTTCTAGATCGGGACATGTTCACTTTCGCAAACATTTTACATTATGGCTTCTTTTCTTTTGCCAAGTCAGTTACCACTTATCTGTCAGCATTGACTTCTAAACATCTGTTGAAATTTTTTACCATGTTTTCTTTCCCATTCTCTCTTACACAGTGGGTTTCTGTCCTTTTTTTTTTTTAATTCCTTTTTAAATTATTTATTTATTTATTTATTTATTTAAAAGATATTATTTATTTATTTATTTGACAGACAGAGATCACAAGTAAGCAGAGAGGCAGGCAGAGAGAGAGGAAGGGAAGCAGACTCCCCGCTGAACAGAGAGCCCGATGCAAGGCTCGATCCCAGGACCCTGGGATCATGACATGAGCCGAAGGCAGAGGCTTTAACCCACTGAGCCACCCAGTGCCCCTTAATTCCTTTTTTAAATGTAATTTTATTTTTTCAGTGTTCCAAGATACATTGTTTACATATAACACCCCGTGCTCCATGCAATACGTGACCTCCTTAATACCCACCACCAGGCTCACCCATCCCATCACCCCTTCCCCTCTAAAACCCACAGTTTCTGTCTCAGAGTCCACAGTCTTTCATGGTTTTCCTCCCCCTATGATATCCCCCCAATTCACCTTTCCTTTCCTTCTCCTAATGTCCTCCGTGTTATTCCTTATGTTCCACAAGTAAGTGAAACCATATGATAATTGACTTTCTCTGCTTGACTTATTTCACTGAACATAATCTCCTTGAGTCCCATCCATGTTGATACAAACAGTTGGGTATTCATCCTTTCTGATGGCTGAGTAATATTCCATTTGTATATATGGACCATATCTTCCTACTATCTGTCCATTGTTTTCAAAGGCCAAGTGATCACCAAGTGATGAATCTGCTTTGCTTAATAGCTCAGTGGGAGATAGCTTGTCTTAGAGGATATGGTAGACATTTTAGGTAGTTTGGCTATTGTGTAGACTAGCTGGTGTCTTGGCAGTTAGTGCCTAGTTAGGGCTAGATCTGTTAAGCACATTGCCATTTCTGAGCCCACCTAAAATTCCAGTTGTACTTAAAGTTATCAGTTCATTCTAGCCTTACATTAACTCACCGTGAACAGTACTTTAGACAATTAACATTTTCTATGACTGAGAGTAATGTGTAATCTTACTCATTACTCTTTCTCAGGCTGAGCTTTTGGAAACTGATTTGCATTCAGAAGTAACAGTAAAAACGGTGTGACGGCTCCTTGTCATTAAAAGGAAAACACTGGATAAATTGTTTTCCTATTCCTAACATTCAGCTTTGCTACATATAGTTTTTCTCCATATTAACAGATTTTTTGGTAGAAGGCCTCAGTGGGATTGTAGAGGGGCATCAAATCTGAATGAACTTCATCAGCTATTAAGTGACATAATGATCAGAAGATTGAAGACTGATGTTTTAACCCAGCTGCCCCCCAAAGTCAGACAGCGTATTCCCTTTGATCTTCCATCAGCAGCTGCCAAGGTGAGAATGCTTGTTTGGTTCAAAGTCTTACTTTAAGTCATTTTAATGAAACATTGCACATATTCATATTTCATAGAAGGAAAAGTCTGTTTTCTTAAAATGGGATTAATTAATAGAACATATGAACTTCATTTCAAGAAGAGAACAGGAAAAATTTAACTTTCAGTCATCAAATAATGTGAAAAGATTCAGTATCCTATTGATTTAAAAAAAATACTTCTGCTCAATATAAAAGAAAAGTATTTCAACTGCAATGAAGATTTAGTATTAAGAATTCTAAGTACCTATAGGGTGTAAAGCTCAATAATTAGGAAGCAAAGTTATGTTTCTTGCTCTAGGATTTTTTTTCAAGTATGAGCTGTCTTCTAGAATAACTTGGATATAGCCTTCTTCTTGAAGATCTGAAAATTCTAATCATATTGAAAGATGTGAAGGTCTATATATTAGAAAGTCAAATTGTATTTTACCTAATCCTTATGTACATGCTTATATATTCTCTGAAATTTATTTAAATCTGGACAGGACTTTGTTGACAAAGACTATTTATTATTGCATTGTTTTATCTTGAACATTTAAGGTAGACATTTTATAACCATTGAACAATATGTTGTCGGTAAAATAGGAATAATCTGATTTTCTTTATCCACCATTTTAGCATTAGGAAGAAAAGTGAAAGAGTCAGTGTATGATTACATTACATTTTTATTTAGCTGATATTCCTCATGCTTATTTATTTATTTATTTATTTTTAAGATATTATTTATTTGACAGAGATCACAAGCACGCAGGCAGAGAGAGAGAGAGGAGGAAGCAGGCTCATCAGGGAGCCTGATGCGGGGTGATCCCAGGAGGATCATGACTCGAGCCAAAGGCAACTTTAACCCACTGAGCTACGCAGGCACCCCGATTTTTTTTTCTTTTTTTTAACCTTATAATTTTTTTATTATGTCGTTAGTCACCATACAGTACATCATTAGTTTTTGATGTAGTGTTTCATGATTCATTGTTTGTGTATAACACCCAGTGCTCCATGCATATTTAAATGAAAGCGTATCTTGTTATGAAAATACTTTGCTACCATATACATTTTCACTGTTTCCTTTTTTATGTATATAAACTTTTATTTTTACTTTTCAAAATGTTTTATCCTAAGGAAAAGCTCTAATTGCTTGATTTATGATGTTAGCAAAGAGCTTGGCTTTCACCCACAGCTTTTCATTGGTTTCTGCCTTTGGTGTGAACATGTGACTGACCTTTCTCCATATTGATGTTTTTAAGTGAATACATTGATATCTTTGGGAATTTGTTCTCATATCTTTACAAAGAAAAAAGAAAAAAGTAGGACAAAATTCATTATTGCATTAATTGTTCTTTTTTTTTTTAAGATTTTATTTATTTAGTTAGTTGAGAGAAGAGAGAGCACGAAGTGGGGGAGGATCAGAGGGGAAGGGAAAAGGAGGGGGAAAGAGTCCCAAGCAGACTTCCTGCTGAGTGCCGACCCCCCAAGTTGGAGCTGGATCTCATAACCCTGAGATCATGACCTGAGCCAAAATCAAGAGTCAGATGCTTAATGGACTGAGCCACCCAGAGCCCCTGTTCTTCTGTCCTTTATGCCATATTTCTAAGCATTGTTATTTTCTCCCACATAGGAATTGAATGCCAGCTTTGAAGAGTGGGGAAAATTAATGAGAGCTCCAAATTCAGGTGCCACTGAGACTGTCATGGGGTTGATTACTCGAATGTTTAAACAAACTGCTATTGCCAAGGTACTTATTGCTGAGACATGTGTTTCTCTTGATACAAATTATTTAATGTATTTTAATGCTTTTATTTAAGCAGCTTATTTGCATACTGTAACATGTCTTTGCCATTTAACTTTTTTTAAGACTTTTTATTTATTTGACAGACAGAGATCACAAGTAGGCAGAGAGGCAGGCAGAGAAAGAGGGTGAAGCAGGCTCCCTTCTGAGGAGAGAACCCAATGTGGGGCTTGATCCCAGGACCTAGGATCAAGACCTGAGCTGAAGGCAGAGCCTTTAACCCACTGAGCCACCCAGGTGCCTCATCCATTTAATTTTTTAAATCTGATATGGAAAATTCAAACATATTCAAAGTAAACAGTGGTATAATGGACACCATTATATCTGCCCATATATTGGTCTTTTCCAATATATGGGTACACTTTGATGAGGGAATATAATATGCTTTACATGTTCTCATTTAAAGGACATATGTATATTCATCTTTGTCATCAGATTTTTCTGTGGTTTTTGATACATAATTGCTACAAATAATGTTTTTATTTAAGTCAAACATTTTTAATTGGTATTATGATTCTAGTTCCCTACAGAGATAGATGTGCTCGTATTCTGTCTAAAAGTGCAAATTAGAGGTGTTAGAGTTTTTAAATCTCAGTGTGCATATAAAGTAGATTCATCACACATTCTTGTTTTTACTAGCATGATAGAACTTAGACATGCTAATGAGTGTTACTCTTTTCCAATTCTGAAATTTTTTATATAAGATAATTTTTTTAAGTGAGGTATGTTGAGGTGTAATTCACATTCAGTGAAACTTGTCCTTTTAAAATACATAGCTTAATGAGGCTTGACAAATACATAGGGTAAATCACCAGTACAATCAAAATAAAGAATATTTCCATTTGCCCAAAACTTCCCTGATGTACCTTTGCAGTTATCTCCCTCACACCCTGCCTTCTGCACCTCAGCAGTCACAGATATAATTTTTACAACTGTAGTTCTGCATTTTCCCGAATGTTCCAAAAACGGAGTCACAGAGTATATAGCCTTGTGCTTAAAGCATAAAGCTTTTGAATATTGATCCATGTTTTGCATATGTCGTTAGTTTCTTCATTTTTATTTCTGAATAATGTTCCAGTGTTTGGATATATAACAATTTTTTTTTCCCCTCCACCAGTTAATGGTAATGGGATCTTACCAGTTTGGGCCATTATGAGTAACTGTAGGAATCATTCATGTACAGGTCTTTGTATGGACAGATTTTCATTTCCTTTGAGTAAATAACTGGGAGTGGGAATGTTGGGTCATATGGAAGAAACAGGTTAAATTTTATAAAAAGCTGCCAACTTGTTTTTCAAGTATCATTGTCCATTCCTAGTAGCAACATGTGAGTGTCCCAGTGGTTCTGTATCTTTGTCAGCACTTGGTATTGACAGTCTTCTTAGTTTTAGCAATTTTCCACAGTATTTACTGGTATTTCATTGTCATTTTAATTTGCCTTCTCCTAATGTCTAGTGATAGCATATTTTCATGTGTTTTTATCTATAATAGACATCATATATCTGTTATATATCATATAGTCTGTACATAGCAAGCCCATATTTATATTGGATTATAAGAGTTCTTTTTTAAAAAGATTTATTTATTTATTTTAGCAAGAAAGAGAGTGGGGGTCGGTGAGAGAGGGAGTAGGAGAGAGAATCTCAAGCAGACTCCCCGCTGAAGATGGAGCCCAACAGGGAGCTCGATCCCATGACTCTGAGATCATGACCTGAGCTGAAATCAAGAGTGAGAGGCTCAACAGGCCAAGCCACCTGAGTGCCCCAGAGCTCTTTATATATTTTAGAAACAAGTATTCTAAAATATGTCTTTCCAAATATTGCTTCCAAGTCTGTATATTCCATTTTATTTTCTTGAAATTATCTTTAAAAGAACAGAAGTTAAATTTTGAAACAGTCCAGTTTATTATTTTCTCTTTCATGTTCTCTGCAATTTCAGTCCTAATTAATTTTTGCTTATTCCAAGTTCACAAAGATCTCTGTGTTTTCTTCTAAAAGTGCTATATCTTTGGGTTATATAAGTAAGTCTAGAACTATTTTGAGTTAATTTTTTTAAATGTGGTATGAAGTTAAAGATAGAGATTTAGTTATTTTGTTTTGGTTTGAATGGGGTTTTATTTATTTATTTACTTTGTTTATGGATTTTCAATTTTCATTTGATACTCATTATGGAAACCATTTTTCTCTCGTTGACTCACCTTAACACCTTCATAAAAAATCATTTGGTTATCTATGTGTGGATCTGTTTCTGAACTCTTGTCTGTTTCTTTGACCTATACATCTCATTTGACAACACTAACGCATCTGTTTAAACTACCTTTCTAATAAAGCTTGAAATCACATGGTGTTCACTCCTACTTTATTCAAAATTATTTTGTCTGTTGTAAGTCCTTTGCTTTTCCTTACACTGTTTAGAATTAGCTTATTAAGAATGCAAACTTTTGATTGGAATTGCATTGTATCTATAAATTCATTTGGAAGAATTGACTTCTTAATAGTATTGAATTTCCTGATCCATGGAAAGAATATCTTCTCTTATTTCTCCCAGCTTTGTTTTCTAATTTCATTGAATACATTTTGCTAGATTTACTCTAGTTATTTCATGTATTTTTATGTACTTATAACTATTTTTTTCTATTTAAATGCAGTTAATTAACATATATTGTATTATTAGTTTCAGAGGTAGAGTTCATTGATTCATCAGTCTTATATAATACCCAGTACTCATTACATCAAATGCCCTTCTTTATGTCCATCACCCAGTTACCCTATCACCTCACCCCCCTCCCCTCCAGCAACCCTCAGTTTATTTCCTATGATTAAGAGTCTCTTATGGTTTGTCTTCCTCTCTGATTTCATCTTGCTTTATTTTTTCCTACCTTCCCCTATGATCCTCTGTTTTGTTTCTTAAATTCTACATATGAGTGAGAGTATATGATAATTGATTTTCTCTGGTTGACTTATTTCACTTAGAATAATATCCTCTAGTTCCATTAACATTGTTACAAATGGCAAGATTTCTTCTTTTTTTTTACTGGCTGAGTAGTATTCCCTTGTATACATATACCACATCTTCTTTATCCATTCATCTGTCGATGGACATCTGTGGTCTTTCCATAGTTTGGCTGTTATGGACATTGCTGCTATGAACACTGGAGTGCAGGTGCCCCTTCAGATCACTACATTTGTATCTTTGGGGTAAATTCCTAGTAGGGCATTGCTGGATTGTAGGGTAGCTCTGTTTTCACTCTTTGAGGAACCTTCATACTATTTTCCAGAATGACTGCACCAACTTGCACTCCCACCAACAGTGTAGGAAGGTTCCCCTTTCTCCACATCCTCACTAACATCTTTCATTTCCTGACTTGTTAATTTTAGCCATTCTGACTGGTGTGAGGTGGTATCTCATTGTGGTTTTGATTCGTATTTCCCTGATGCTGAATAATGTTGAGCACTTTTTCATGTGTCTATTGGCCATTTGGATGTCTTCTTTGCATAAATGCCATTTCATATCTTCTGCCAGTTTCTTGATTGGATTATTTGTTCTTTGGGTGTTGAGTTTGATAAGTTCTTTAGAGATTTTGGATACAAGCCCTTTATCTGATAAGACATTTGCAAATGTCTTCTCCCATTCTGTGAGTTCTTTTGGTCCTGCCCAGTACTGTCCATAGACATAGTGTGGTGTCAGGGAAAGAGAGAGAAACTCCCCCAAAGTGCCACCTTTAAGTCTCAGCTGGATCAAGGAAACTGCCTTACATTGAATTGGTTGTAGAGACCCAAAGATGTCCCCTGCCCCCTACCAAGAACTTAGCACTGAGAAATCACCCAGTTATGTCTACCCCTGGGGAGAGAAACACCTGTGTATAATGCAGGCATACAGGAACTACTGGAAGCTGAGAATGCAGTAGAAAAACACATGACATACATTATCACAAGGTAGAAGCATCCTGTTGCTGGGGGAGTTCAAAGTTTTCAGTGTACTAAGAGTAAATGTAACAAAAAGAGAGTCTAAATACAAGGGAACCTAAATAAAACTCAGTACTGACTAGATTCTCTCCTACCCACACTCATGCTGATCCCCCCCCCCCAAAAATCTGAGTGTATAAATACCAATTATTTCAGACTGTCCTGTTCTCCTGCACATAATTTCTAGCACGTACTAGAAATTATGAAATAAACAAAAAAGCAACTTTAAGAAACTAATATATTCTCAAAAGATAAAACAATCAGGTGCTGAGTCAAGATGGCGGAGAAGTAGCAGGCTGAGACTACTTCAGGTAGCGGGAGATCAGCTAGATAGCTTATCTAAAGATTGCAAACACCTACAAATCCAACGGGAGATCGAAGAGAAGAAGAATAGCAATTCTAGAAACAGAAAATCAACGAATTTCTGAAAGGTAGGACTGGTGGAGAAGTGAATCCAAAGCGACGGGAAGATAGACCACGGGGGGAGGGGCCGGCTCCCGGCAAGCGGCGGAGCAACAGAGCACAAAATCAGGACTCTTAAAAGTCTGTTCCGCTGAGGGACATCGCTCAAGAGGCTTAACCGGGGTGAAGCGCACGCGGGGTCAGCGTGGCCTCAGGTCCCGCAGGGTCACAGAAGGATCGGGGGTGTCTGAGTGTCGCAGAGCTTGCAGGTATTAGAACGGGGAAGCCGGCTACAGAGACAGAGACGAGGAGTGACTCTCAGCTCGGGTTTACCTTGAACCGGTCGCAGGCTCGGTCAGCTCAGAGCGTGGCCGGAGGCCAGGGTGACGGAAGCAATTGGGCGCTGTTCTCTGAGGGCGCACTGAGGAGTGGGGCCCCAAACTCTCGGCTCCTCCGGCCGGAGACTGGGAGGCTGCCATTTTCATTCCCGTCCTCCGGAACTCTACAGAAAGTGCTCAGGGAACAAAAGCTCCCGAAAGCAAACCCGAGCGGATTACTCAGCCCGGCGCCTGGTAAGGG